CGGACAGGCTGGTTTGGGCACAGTCTGCCGCGACTGAGTGGGCCCAGGGCCGCGGCTTCGCCAGTGGATTAATTCCCCTCGATCTGGAGAAAGCTTTTGAGCAGATCTCTCACGCGCGAGCGCTTGCAGCAGCGATCGCCGCCAGCTTCGCCTCGCGCCAGCTTTAGTTGCTCATTCAGTTGTATCGTGCCGCGCGGGTTCTATACCTGGGCGGCAGGGTATCGGAGTGCATTCGCGCGTTGCAAGCTGTCATGCCAGGATGCCACTTTGCTGCCCTCGTGCTACAACTCGTAGTTTTGCAGCCACTCGACGCCGTGGGTCGCGCCTTCCCCGCCGTTGAGAAGGGGGCGGTGGTTGGCGACTTCGGGCTGCAGCTGTGGTCGGGAAGAGCATGTTGCCAGAGACTTAGCAGGCGCGACGGAACTAGTTCACCCTGGATTAGCCAGAATAGATGTGAAGATCAAGCGTACCAAGAGCAAGTTCGGCGCCTCGTCGGTCGACCTGCGTCAGCAGCTCCAGGATCGGGCGAGGTGGCTCTCGGTCCAGGGGGTCGCCACTGAGCGCAATCTAGGCATTGATTTTTCTGAGGGTCGCCGCGTTCGGCATGACCTAGCGCCGCCAGCGCGTGCGCGACGCGACAAGCTGCTCTCGTTTGGTCGCCTCCTGAAGCGTAAGCAACTGCATCACATGTCCAGTCAACTGTTTTGTCTTCTGTGTTGTACGGACACCAGGTCCTCGGCGCTGGCGACGCAGAATTGCGCGAGGCTCGTCACCGGCAGGCGCAAGTTGAAGCAGCGAGGGTTGATGGCCGTTCTGTCTCGCTCATGTTGCAGCTCTCGGATGTTGTCAAGGTCGACCCTGCTTGCAAGTTGTGCAAGGGCCCCTTGATGGTCCTTGCCTCCGCCGTCTGGGACTCCTGGATACCCCGCTCTCTTCTTTGCAGTGGCTTAGAGGAAGCCTGGAGTGGGCTCCCAGAGCTTGTCTCCGCATGGCAAAGCATGCGTGGCCCTTTCAGCGCCTGTGTAGCCTCAGCGCTGCGACACGGCATCGCCATGCAAGGCCTCCAGCGGCCCCGCCCATCATTTGGAAGTTTGTATCCTCTCGACCTCTCCCCTCTCGCTCTCGGGTCGGTTTTGGGTCGTTTGGTGGGCGGGTGGATTTGGAAGCGGGTCGCGGACCACTTGGAGCGTCCTGAGTTTGGAAACGTTTTTCTTTTGCACCCTCTCTTGAAGGTGGCCCGCAGCAAAAAGGTCAGCCCTCAGGGCGCAGCATATCTTCGCAGTGCAGTTTCAGGCGGACAGTGGCCCCTTCGGCGTCAGTTTGATGCTGGGCTCCCGCAGCAGTGGCAGTGCTTAGCGTGTGGTGAGGCCCCTGCAACGCTTCAGCATCGTCACCACTCCTGTCGCTGTCCAGAAGAACCGCGTGGGGCCTCGCCGCCGCTCTTGACAGGCAGACTGGCACTTGCGCGTCGGGATGAGCTGCCCCGTCTCCTGGCCGAGCGTTTGCTTGCTCCTGTGTCCGTCCTGGCTCCGGCTCCTAGGCCCCCAGTGCTCTGGCTTCTCGGGGGTGGTCTCCTGCGGGGCCGGTGCGCGCGACGGCTTTTCGTCGCTGGCCCAACAAGGCCTCGGCTGGTCCTGCGCCCAGGTTTTCCAGGACACACGCCGCGCCGAGGCCACCTTTGCGGGCTCTTCTCAGCACCCTGCAGCAGACGTTGACGCCCTCGAGCTGCGGGCGCTGCTTCAAGGCTTGCGCTTCTCACTGCCAGGCACAAGCTTCTACAGTGACTCTGGATTTTCAGTGGGTGGTGTGCTCGAGCGCGGCCCTGTCAAAACGTGCTCAGCCAAAAGTACCTGGGCCGAGTTGTGGCGCGTGGCGCGGCACAAGATTGCGGGCTGGGGGGAGGGGGGGGGGGCGGGCGGTCTCTTTGGTCAAAGTCAAAGGTCATGCTGAGCATGCGGCCGTTGCACCGGGCCAAGTTTCTACCTTCCACAAAGTTGGGAATGAATTCGCCGATCAGTATGCCAAGCAGGCGTCTGAGTTCTCTCGCCTCCCGAGCTCGGTTCGTGCTCAGATCGATGCCCATGCCGAAGTTCTGGCTGAGCTCGCCACGTGGGTGGCTAAGGTTGGCCCATCCATGGTGGCAGGCGACGCCCTTCATGTGTCCAGGCGGCGCGAGGCGAAACCCCGGGCTCCCGCGCTCGCCGTCCGGCCTCCGGAGCCTCCGGTCACCCCTCGCAGCTTGCTCGCGGCCGATTTCGGGCACGCTCGGGTGGCCTTGGCGGGAGGCAGGCTCTACGTCGTTCGCCCTTTCGAGCTGGCCAGCGCGGGGCAATGGTGCGTTGCACGTGCTGCCCGCGGTGCGAGCGGGCCCGCCTGGTCTGTCGCCTGCCCGGGGCCCGCTCCAGGTCTGTCGCGGGGGGGGATAGGTGCAGGGGGCGATGCTGCCTCGATCCTGGATCGCCCATTGATCGCCGATGGCGGCCTGGTAGCCCAGGAGGAGGAGGAGGAGGAGGAGGAGGGGAGGAGGAGGAGGAGGAGGAGGAGGAGGAGGAGGAGGAGGAGGAGGAGGAGGAGGAGGGGGAGGGGGAGGAGGAGGAGAGGAGGAGGAGGAGGAGGAGGAGGAGGAGGAGGAGGAGGAGGAGGAGGAGGAGGAGGAGGAGGAGGAGGAGGAGGAGGGAGGAGGAAGAGGAGGAGGAGGAGGAGAGGAGGAGGAGGAGGAGGAGGAGGAGGAGGAGGAGGAGGAGGTATCAAGTCAACCACCAGTGGCATCCGCCGCGCGGGAGGCGGAGATCCCCTCCTCGGGCCTCTCCGTCGGCGGGCTCTCTGGTGCCGGCGGCGGTTCCTCCACCCGCGCACCCGTCCGACGACAGGCCCCGCGAGGCGCCCTCGCCGCCGCTGCTGCGGAGGGGCAGGAGTGCAGCGGCTTGGTGTGTCGGCGGTTCGGATCGAAGCTCTCCGCAATGTCGAGTCGAGGAGGAGGAGGAGGAGGAGGAGGAGGAGGAGGAGGAGGAGGAGGAGGAGGAGGAGGAGGAGGAGGAGGAGGAGGGAGGAGGAGGAGGAGAGGAGGGAGGAGGAGGGGATGAGGAGGAGGGGAGGAGGAGGAGGAGGAGGAGGAGGAGAGGAGGAGGAGGAGAGAGGGACCAGGAGGAGGGGGAGGGGAGAGGAGGGAGGAGGGAGGAGGAGGAGAGGAGGAGGAGGGAGGAGGAGGAGGAGGAGGAGGAGAGGAGGAGGAGGGGAGGAGGAGGAGGAGGAGGAGGAGGAGGAGGAGGCGGAGGAGGAGGAGGAGGAGGGGGAGGAGGAGGAGGAGGAGGAGGAGGGAGGAGGAGGAGGAGGAGGAGGAGGAGGAGGAGGAGGAGGAGGATGACCAGGAGGAGGGGGAGGTGGAGAAGGAGGAGGAGGAGGAGGAGGAGGAGGAGGAGGAGGAGGAGGAGGAGGAGGAGGAGGAGGAGGGGAAGGCAGGGGGAGGAGGTCGGATGAGAGGGATGTGAGGGAGGAGCAGGGCTCTGTCCGGGAGGGTGGAGGTGGGGGATAACCAGAAGGGAAGAGGAGAGGGAGGGGGGAAGAGTTTTTTTCAACAGGCGCGGCGCCGAACGTGCATGGGCTCTGCAAGGCGACTCGGGCACAAACCCGACAACGTGAGAAAATGCCCGAGCACCTCCCCCCAAAGGGGAGGGGGGGAAGAGGAGGGAGCAGCTGAGGAGGAGGACAGAGACTTGGGAGAAGGAGGAAGAGGGCATCAGGAATGCAATGCGTGTTTCACTGGCCACGCTGGTTTGCATCGCCGCCGAGGGCGCGTTGGCACGCCCGTCGAACGAAGGCAGCCTGCCGGGTACAGCCCAAGCGCCCTCGGCCGAGCGTGCACAAGCCAAACTATCCGCCCCCGCCCCCGCCTCCTGCTCATCCTCTGCCTCCGCGTCTTTGCCCTCGTGCCCCTTCTGGTCCTCTCCCTCCCCATCCCCCTCCTCCGGGCCTCCCTCCCCCTCGTCCTCGTGCCGCGAATCCTCGTCTTCATCGCCATCGCGCTCCCCTTCCTCCTCCTCCTCCCTTCCTCCTCCTCCTCCTCCTCCTCCTCCTCCTCCTACACAAGCAATCTCAACTGAGCGTGGATATCCCCCCTCCTCGCCACCTCGCCCCCCGTCCCCGATCCGTCGCCCTCCAGCCCCCATCTCTCCTGCTCGCTTCCCCCTCCCCGCCTCTTCCCCCTTCCCCCCTCCCCCCTCATCCTTCCCCCCTCTTCCCCCACCTTGACCCCTTCCCCCTTCCCTCTTCCCGCCTCTTTCCCCCCTCATCCTTCCCCCCTTGACCCTTCCTCCCTCCTCCCCCTCTCCCTCGCTGCACAGCGCCTCGCCTGCTGGAGGTCTCCAGAGGTTCCCCGCAACACGCAAGAGGACCCCAGACGCACAAGGCCTTGGAGCCTGCCTTCCTCTCTCTAGGGGGCAAGCAAACCTACCTCGCTTCTGACCACTCTCGCTTCCAAGAGATGCCAAGCGATGCCAAACTACGGCCTGTACTGGTCAGGCCGCTTGACGAGGAGGCGCGTGGTACGACTTGGTTTTGCCTGGAACCGAAACCGGGGTAGGTAATTCACGCTCTGACTCTCCCCCCTCCATCCCTGTGGCCTCTCGCCCAGCCGAAGACGGCCGCGCGGAGGGGGCTCGGTTAACTCGCGGTTGGCGAAACTGGGAGGCGCAGCTGCGCCACCGTAGGGCTTGGACGGCGGAGGAAGGATGCAGGGATGGTACGCCTTCTCCCTCATCTGCCTTCCTCCTCTCATCCCCCCTGCGGAGGAGGGGGAGGGAGGAGGGAGGACAATCTTCCTCCTGCTTTGATTACAAGAGGAGGCTCAGAACTGGAGTCAGTCCTTGCCGGTGTTCGCAGCGGAGTCCAGCATCGGCGACGAGAGCTTCCATGGACGCCCCCCCCCCCCCCCCCCCCCCAGAAAAGGAGAACGAAGGCGATGCCCAGAAGAAGACGGCGATGCCGTCCTGCCCTCCGCGGGCCTCGAGGTCGGCGACGACGCGCTGGATGAAGTCCGCCATCTGCGGCGTGCTGCGCAGATGCACTGCGCGGCGGTAGCCCTCCTCCGTCAGGGGGAGGCTGGCGCCTGCTGGCAGGGAGAGGTGGAGGGAGGAGGAGGAGGAGGAGGAGGAGGAGAGGAGGAGGAGGAGGAGGAGGAGGAGGAGGAGGAGGAGGAGGAGGAGGAGGAGGAGGAGGAGGAGGAGGAGGAGGAGGAGGAGGAGGAGGAGGAGGAGGAGGAGGAGGAGGAGGAGGAGGATGAGCAGGAGGAGGAGGAGGAGGAGGAGGAGGAGGAGGAGGAGGAGGAGGAGGAGGAGGGGGAGGAGAAGGAGGAGGAGGAGGGGGGGAGGAGGGGGAGGAGGAGGGGGACGTGGCTCCGGAGGCGCCTTGTAGCCGTCCGCACCCTCTCCTTGGCCGGCGGCGACCGCTGTCAGGCACGCGCGTCCGCCCGCAGCCGCCGCGGCATGCCCTGGTGGAGCAACCGCCGCGCCGGCAAGGGCAGCGGGGATGCGGAGCCTTCCCGTGCTCCCGTGCCCCAGTGGACGTGGAGGCACTGTGGTTGTGAGAGAGACGATGAGAGGATGCGGAGCTACAGAGTAGGCAAGCGACCATGGAGCGCGCCCGTGTCCGACGGAGGAGGCGATGACGCGGCTGACGCGCCGCCGAGGCTTGCCGTCGTACCGGCGGCAACGGGACTCCGGCCACCAGCGGGAGTTTCGAAGCAGGACCGCGAGCTCAGAATCGCGGAGCTCGACCAGCTCATGGCGCTGGGGAAGAACGCGGGCAACACGGCGATGGTCAAGAGGTACCAGGCCGTGCGGGCCTACAAGGAGAAGCAGGCGCAGGAGCCGCCTGCGCCGCTCTTGCAGGGCGACGTCAGCTGCTTCGACCTGTCGGACTGCGACGCGCTGTTCGGGATCGAGGACGTGTATGAGGTCACGGAGGACCGCAAGTGTGTCAAGGAGCGGAAGGACTAGCTGGTCGGGGGCAGAACCCAGCTGGCGACGCAACTCTTTAGGAAGATACAGCAGACCGCGGGCAAGCTCAAGTCCGAGCACCAGAGGCACAAGGAGCGGCTCGCCAACAAGAAGCGCAGGACCGACGGGGAGCAGTGGACGCCACGGCCGCGGACTCTGGTGCGGGCGACGGAGGTACGAATGCTGCTGCTCCCGGCACACCTGCTCGTGACGTCAGCCAGCTGGCCGTTCCCGTTGCGCCGGCCACCGATGTGCGACAACGAGCGGCAGCACTGCTCCCGGAAGGTAACAAAAAAAGCCGCGGGCAAGGGCAACAAGCGGCGGGGCTGGGGGCTCTGCCGCGCCCGCACCGGGCAGCTGCAGCCGAGCGTGTGGAGCGGGGGGTGAGGCGGGGCGGACGGAGGGGGAGTAAGTGCGCGGCGGTGCGAGACGCCTCCGGGAATCTTCTTCCTGCCGCCGCCGCTGACGCCTCCGCCGCCTCCCTCTTGATCGTCCCCCCTTTTCCACCCGGGAGCCTACCGTAGTGTGCCCGACCCCCCTCTCGACTTGGCGCTGGGCCTGGAAGGCCTGGAGTGGACTGAGCGTGGCCAGAGATCGCTAGATGGCTCGGATCGCCCACGCACTGCCAGGAACTCCCAGCAACATGAGCCAATTTTGGAATCGGGTGGGGGAGAGCCTTTTTTGTGTAGAAACGCGCAACTCCACGTGCTGGAGTGGCCTCGAGCAACACTTGGATAGCGGGGCAACACCGCGGGTCGTCCGTGTGCCAGGGGATCACCGTCGAGCCGGACGATGTGCGCAGCTCAGAGGATCAGCTTCTGAAGATGGGATGTACGGAGTGGGTCACTGTAGGCCTCGGAAGTTGCCGGAGCTGGGGGTTTGCCAGCAGGACAGGGGATATGTGTGCGGCCCTTTGTCGGCATGGGCCTGCCTCCCACCAGTGCATCTTTGCCTCTCCCGCACCGCGTCCGTGTACGATGGGTCAACGCCTGCATCCCAGAGGGCTTCCTCCTGGCCAGCCTCTACCTTCCCCAGGGCAACCCGCTGAGGGAGGACGGAGGGCGCATCCTGGCGAGACTGGGAGAACTCCTCTACGGATGGGGGCTCCCCTACGTGATCGGAGGCGATTGGAACACCACGCCTCAGACGCTTGCTGCTGCAGGCTGGGTCGATCGGCTCGGGGGGGTTCTTGTCACCCATGCCCAGTACGCATGTGTCTCAACCAGCAGGTGCTGGAGGATCATCGATTATTTCGTGATGTCTGCAGGACTGGCCAAGAGCGTTGCGAGCTGCGAGGTCCACGACGACACCCTCCACCGCCACGCACTGGCCCGTCCGTGCCACCCTCTCGGGCGCCCCGCTGGCGCCGACCACCTGGATCCCCGAGGCCCCCGAGCCTTTCCCCGTGGAGCCTGCTATGGGACCCCACCAGGAGGTGCCGTCTTGGGAGGACTTGCTCGGGGCCGCGAGGCTCCGCGGTGACCGGGAGGCCTTGGACAAGTGTTACCAGCTTTTTCTGGAGCGCCTGGAAGCCGAGCTCGGTGTCTACCACGTGGTTCAGGGCCAGTCGGAGTACTTGGGCAGGAGGGTGCCGTCGAAGAGGGTCCAGGTGTCCGCCCTTCGTGTCTCTGGAGGCTGCTACCCGCTTGGCTCGTCCGAAAGTCGTGGTTGGAGGCAGGTCTCGAAGTAGTTTCAGGAGCTGTACCACTTGCGCCGCGCCGACAAGGAAGGTGGCGGGGCAAGCACCATGACAATCATTGTTAAGCATGTGCGCGGCCCTTGCCGCCTCAAGGAGACTGTTGAGTGGCAGAGCTGGCAGCCTGATCGGGTCAATCTTTCTGGACGCTACAGAGGCATCGCTCCGAGCTCGAGGGGAATCAGCAACTGAGCTAGCCAAACAACTGGGAAGAGCCTTCGCGGCTGATCGTCAGAAAAGATGGCGTAAGTCGGTGGAGGAAGCTGTGGAGCGAGGCGGAGGTAAATCGCACACGTTCGTGAAGGCCGCCATCGGCTGGGTCCCTGAGAACGTCGATGGCAAAACGAAATGGACTCATCTGCCACCTAGCCAACAAGATCAAGTTGACCAGCTGTGTAAGGACTGGGTCAAAATGTGGACGCCTTCCGCGAAGACGCCCGATTTTCCTGAACCGATTGAGTACCTCACTGACGAGATTCGCAAGCAAGCGGCCGACAAGGACTGTGCCGTTGCCGGTGTATGCCAGCCTGCCCGTCAACCAGCAGGGCCAAGTCCCAGCATTGCTACGAATTCCAACACAAACGAGAACATGATTTCAGTATGACCGGGCCCACCCGTTTCAGGATGAGGAGGAAGAGGAATAGGAGGAGGAGGGGGAAGAAGGAGGAGGAGGAGGAGGAGGAGGAGGAGGAGAGGAGGAGGAGGAGGAGGAGGAGGAGGAGAGGAGAGAAGGAAGAAGAAGAGGAGGGGGGGGGAGGGAAGGAGAGGAGGAGGGAGGAGGAGGAGGAGGAGGAGGAGGGGATGAGGAGGAGCGGGGCAGGAGGGAGGAGGACCAGAAGGAATCTAACATGTACGTAGCACCCCGCAATTGCGGATAAGAGTGATGGGGCGGGCGCGGGCGACGCGGGCGTCGAGCCGGCGGACCTCGTGGCCCTCACCTTCCCTGTCGATGGCGCCCTCCTCCTCCTTCTCCTCCTCCTCCTCCTCCTGCTCCTCCTCCTCTTCCTCGTTCGCGTCCTCGTCCTCATCGTCGTCGTCGTCGTCCGCCTCCTCCTCCTCCACCTCCTCCTCCTCTTCCTCCTTTTCTCCTCCTCCTCCTCCTCCTCCTCCTCCTCCTCCTCCTCCTCCTCTTCCTCCCCCATCCCGATCCTCCACCCTCCTCCTTTCTGTCGTCGTCGTCGTCGTCGTCCTCTCCTCCTCCTCCTCCTCCTCCTCCTCCTCCTCCTCCTCCTCCCCCTCGTCCTCCCTCCTTCCTCGTCGTCCCCCTCCGTCCCCCCCTCCTGTTCCTCCTCGCCCTCGTCGTCGGCCTCCTCTTCGTCCTCGTACGCGTCGTCGTCGTCGTCGTCTCCCTCTCCTCCTGCTCCTCGCCCTGCTCCTCCTCCCCTCCTCCGCGGCAGCAGGCAACTGGATCGTCAATAAACGTGTTCAGGCACAGCCCCGCCGCAAGCGCCGATGTGCTGTTGTAGAGTCAACGTGGGCCGGACCGGGGGAATGGCACGAGGGCGTTTTCCCAAACCAATGCGAGCAAACCTGCCGCAGGCGCCGATTTGCGTGCTCTGACAAGCTCAGCGCGGGAGGGATCGCTGGGGGGCCACCCGGAACGAATGCACAAGCAGCCCGCCGCAAGCGCCGAATTATTTGGCTTTTTCAATGAACGTTTTTTGGGTCGCGGGTGGGTCGCGGGCTCTCCACCTCCACCTGGAAGGAACTCAAAAACAGCCCGCCGCAGGCGCCGAAAATTTTGATTTGTACACTGAACGCGGTTTGGGTCGCAAGTTCTCCACCTGGATCGAATGCACAAGAAGCCCGCCGCAGGCGCCGAAGTTTTGGCTTGTTCAGTGAACGTAGTTTGGGTCGCGGGTGGGTCGCGGGCTCTCCACCTCCACCTGGAAGGAATTCAAAAACATCCCGCCGCAGGCGCCGAAAATTTTGATTTGTACACTGAACGCGGTTTGGGTCGCGGGTGGGTCGCAGGTTCTCCGCCTGGAACGAATGCAAAAGAAACCCGCCGCCCGCCGAACACGAATGCACGAAGAAACCCGCCGCAGCGCCGTCCGCAGTCGCGGTGGGTCGCGGGTCGCGGGTGGGTGTGGGTCGGGTGGGTCGCGGTGGGGGGTGGGTCGCGGGTGGGTCGCGGGGTGGGTCGCGGGGGGTCGCGGGTGGGTCGCGGGGTGGGTCGCGGGTGGGTCGCGGGTGGGTCGCGGGTGGGTCGCGGGTGGGTCGCGGGTGGGTCGCGGGGTGGGTCGCGGGTGGGTCGCGGGTGGGTCGCGGGGTGGGTCGCGGGTGGGTCGCGGGGTGGGTCGCGGGTGGGTCGCGGGGCAGGTCGCGGGTGGGACGACGACAACAACAAACAACAACAAGAAGCCGCATCGCGGAATTCCACTTCAGCCACGCACCCAGGGACAGTGAATGACC